TAAAAAAGAGCAAAGGTCCTAAGACTGAACCCCGAGTTATCACACTTGTGACATTAATCCAGTTTGATTGAACTCCATTTGCTTTCTTCCATCCAGCCACTCTTCTACCCAACTTGCTATTTTTTTTACAAGCTTTTTATGTGGCACCTTGTTAAAAATCCAGATACACCAAATCTATACCCTTACCCTCATCTACATAAGGAGTAACCTTTTCAAAGAATGTTAAAAGATTTGTAAGGCAAGATTTTCCCTTAGTGAAACCATGTTGACTATCCAATAAAATTCTAAACTTTGTTAAAGGACTTTGCAAAGCATCTTTTACCAGACTTTCCAAAGCTTTTCCCACAACTGATATAATACTAATGGGTCTATAATTACTGGGACAATTTTTATCACTTTCCTTGAAACTCTGAGTTACATTAGCTAACTTCCAATCTTCTGGTACCTGCCCACTATTCAAGGACTGACAAAAAATAGTAGTAACTGATTCATATATCCAATCTTTAACCTCCTTCAAAACCCTTGGGGAAATATTATCTGGCCCAGGAGCCTTATCATTTTTTTAAACTTTCCAATTTTTTCTTAACCAGCTCAGAATTAATGCTGACATCTTGTTTGATCTCATTTCCTTTTATCAACTGTTCAAGATTTGGAATACTGTTTAAATCTTTGTTTTTGAAATTCTTAGTTGGAAATTATTAACTGACCAGTTAGAATATTATTAAATTATTGTATTCTTAATCATACCCCCCCTCCATACACACACACACACAAGTGGCTCAGCAGTAAAGAAGCAAAAATCAGGGTTCAATACATGTAGTTTGTATGTCACAGATAGCCCATTGTGTAGCTATGCTCTTAAACAGAAACAATCATACAACTCAAGATATGATATATAATTTAAAGTATATTTTTAGACTAAATCAGCTTAGGATTGCATGTAACTGGTATATATTTTCCTAATTCAAAAGTCAACTTTAATATATTTCTTCAATTGGAGCATTGGAAACAAAGTAATGGATATACCTTCAGTTGGAGACCAATATACAGACAGATATCTCACTTGATCAGGTACAACTAAAAACCATTTTATTCCATTTGAATTAAATTTTGAACTCTACAAAAGATTAGGGCTGGGTAGGGTTAGAATGCTGGACTGTGGATCTGATGGACCATGGTTTGTGTCCATTGCTGTTTTTATATAAATTGTGCTACACACTGGAACCATGAATGTGTCATAAGAGTGGTGGTTAGGTTCCATCGATCAATTAGAGAAACCCAAGAGTTGCTGAGGGGTGCTGTTAACTAGCTGCTCCCAGATCTCTTTAACCCTGGCATGCCAAAATTGCTTCCTCCACCCCTGTTACAGTAGACTTGTATTGCCATTTGATAGTAAAGTAAATTGTATAAACATTTGTGACATGCTGATTTGGCTAACTGCAATTTAGTTTTCAGTGTTAAGATATGAAAATGTCTCAAAATCATTATTGGAATGCATTTGTGTGTAGCATTTAGTATCAGTTAGTTAATGTTTGCTGTCTGTGCTATCTTATTACCTTAATTCACCATGAAGGCTGAGTGTAATAACTATATCAAGCTTCAAGAAGCACTCCAAAAAATGGTGATAAACTGATTTAAAACTGTAGTAATTAATAGTTTTTTTTTACTTAAAATCTTAAAATACATATAATTGGTTTTATGCCAGTCTTAAAATGCTGTATCTCTGTCACAGCCAGATGTATTATGTTCTGTTGAACTAGTTCGGTTAACTCCATTTTTGCAAACTACTAAGCAGTGTTATTAGTCAACTATTATACATCTTTTTGCAGGAAATACACAAAGGTGATTTTCAACATGTACAGTCAACAAATTACAAACATATCTGAAGAAACAGCAGGTGAAGAAGAAGAAAGACTTCTGAACATCAAGCAGTCATGGAAAAATAGTATTGATTATACCAAGTTTAAGATAAACAAAGACAGTGTAGTTGTCAGAAGTACATGTAAGTTTTAATACTAGTAATGTTTCTAATTATAATATTTTGATTTTGTATAAACAAGTCAGCTGTGAATTAAAATACATTAGAATAGTTCAGATATTTTTTAATAGATGGTTTAAAGCTGCTTGTGAAACTTAATGCATTTTTGGTTCCATTTAACTAATAGTTTTGCAAATTAAATTTTCCTTTTAGTAGCACATAGTTATTATTTTTGTCTGAGCACTAATACTACAGAAACTAATGAATCAACTTGGTGATTTTAGTTTTTATAGTTGAAAGCTTTAACAAACAAGTATTGTTAATACAGTTTAATCCCTGTAAGTTTGTGAGTAGTATAAATTACTTTGACTTTCCTTTGTACATATAGTTTAGTCTTCACAAAATTATCTAATATTAGCCAACTTATGTATAATCTATGTTGAAACTTACTCTCTGTCCTTTACAATTAATATTCTAGAGAAAAAATATAAAAAATTCTGTTTTGAGATTAGCACCCTTTTAGATTCTTATACATGTAAAAAACAAACCATTGCTGTATACAAAAAATGATTTTATTTGCTTAATTTGAAGTGCCTACTTATTATTTACTGCCAACAACTTTCATTGTTACAAGTATTGAATACTTTAATATAAAAAAAAAGTAAATTTGTTTTTCTATGATATAAACAACATTTTGAATCACATTAAATAGCTTTAATATATATTATCTTCCAATTTTCTTAACTAATTTGTGTCAGCCACTTTCTATGTATGCTAAAAGCTGCCCGGAAGATTATGTCTACGTAGCCTAAATTTGTTATGTTTTTTTTCTGTTTTTACTCAAAAGATGTGTCAAAAATATTAAATTTTGGTGAAATATAGAGATCAATTGCTCCATAACTTTACAGAATAAACTTTTAAGTAAATGTTCTTGAATTAATAATTGGATGTGTGTGCTTTTCATATATAGCTTTTTTAGCCTTTCGTAACACTTTCATGGTACATGGTATATAATTTCTAGTTTTTATGAGTTGGTTTATAAATCCATTAAGCATTATTAGTTAAAATATATTACATGCTCCCTAGTGGCACAGTGGAATGTCTGTGTACTTACAATGTTAAAAACCGGGTTTCGATACCCGTGGTGGGCAGAGCACAGATAGCCCATTGTGTAGCTTTGTGCTTAACTTTAAAACCAACAAACAAATCTATTACATAAATTTTACTCAGATTTTTTAAATATATTGCAGGTATATCATCTTTTTCTACTGCACCTTTAGTTAATATAGAAATTTTTACAATTTCTTTACGTGTATGTCATCTTAATATCAAATATTGGTCAATGGAACCATTAAGTTTATCTCATTTTTGTTACTCATGAATCTAGGTCATTCAGTTAGTATGCTACAAACCTTTTTTGTGAGAGAGATTTCTGTAACATAGAATATAATGAATAAAAATACAGTGACCTTTTCCACTGGGAAGTCAAATGATGCCCTAAGTATACAAAATTCCTCATTTCGAAGAATGGCATTTTTTTATATAATGCCATGTTTTCACATCCTGGAACAAACAGATTGATAATGATATTGAGTTAGTGAGAGCCCTTCAGTAAAGTTAACATACATTACATTTTCAATGTGTTTGTTGGAAATAAAGATTGTTTCACTGTGTCATACATTGTGTCCAATCTCTTTCATGGCTTTAAACCCAGTAAAAGTTAAGATAATTCAGATTTTCTAGCAAACCTCCTGTTATTTTAAGGGAAATCAGTGAACCTGAGAATACCACATTTCAAAACATATTTTGTGTGCCATCATTGTCATATATTTTGTAAGTTTAAATTAAATATAAAATGGTAGTTGTTCATACTGTGATGTCCTTGCCATTAATGGCCAAGTCAACTTTGGTAAAAGCATGCTTGTTTCTCAATATAGCTTATTTTGAACTTTGAGCTTTTTTTTCTGAGAAACTAAAATGACATTGAAATAAAACTGTATCAGTACCAGTTAGATGAACCTTTTCACAACTCCTACCATATGGTGAAGAAATGCTCCTATTCTGTGTGACTTAATCTTTCCTTCCCACCTGTTGTTACTTGCTGAAAACTTCATAGTTAACTTGTGCTTACATGAAAAATTTTCATTTATTGAATTTTGCTGAATTAGCTTTAAATTGTAATTTTATCTACATAACATTACAGCTTGAAGAGGTGAGTGTCTATACTTCTTTAAGGAAAATTTCACCACTACATGAGACAGTAGATACAGAAAGTAAGACCTAGGGCTGAATTGGAAAATGACCTTATTGGCTTTAGTATACCAAATTAAGTCTTTAGACATATGAAAAAAGTTTGGAAAATATGAAATATATAATATAAGAAAGTGAGATATGTGTGTTATTTGCATCCTTCACCCATATTGATGTTTTATTAATAGTAATTATTTAATGGCTAAGCATCATGCTTTATACCAATATATATATGTGAAATGGCTATACATTTTTATACTCTTAAGAATCTTGATGTGAGAGAATATACATCAGTTGTAGTTTATTTTTACTATCTAATAATGTAAAATTATAATGTATATATAATGCAAAATGTATTAAAAAGTTCAGTATAATATATTGTAGGGTTAAATCACGTGTTATTTCCAAATTCTCCTTATTAAGGAATTAAGTAATTGGTGCAAGGTAACTTGTGTTTTTTTCAGTGAGCTGTTTCCAGAATGTGACATTTGATACAGTGAGTGGAACCAATCTGACATGGCCTCACACTCGACTTGGAGCTTCTGTTATTCCTAAGGAATTCTGCATTGAAGGTAAACATACTATTGTTGTTTTATCATAAAAAAAGTTCATTTGTGGAACTTTTTTACATAATCTTGTAATTGAGAATATAATTACTTGTAGTTTAGCCAGAAGATCAAACCACTTGCCCTCAGCATTAGCTAACAGTGATTTCTGTAAATATTTCTTCACTTTCTCCCTTTTGTATTTTTTATAGTTTCTGATATTCCAGACTGAAAATAATCTGAGTGTAGAATTTGAAAGTCATTCAGTCAGAAGAAATCAGAGCAAATAATCATATACATTTTTTTGAAGAAAAACAACAGAATTCATTGTATAAACTCTCAATGAGAAGAGTATCACAAAGATAGGTCATTTAATATATGGTGACTAAAGATACTTTACTTCAGTGGCAGCTTTTAGGATTATGTTTGGAGTAACTGTGTTTCCTTAAAAAAAATTATTTTGTACTCAGTTATAGATGTCTTCATACTTAAATTTAATTACAAGATAGTGCTCTACACATTGCTTGCTTCTATATTTATATGCATAACATGCTTGCTGTCAATCATAGTACCTGTGCTGCTATACAGTGGTGAATGTCATGTCCCAGTCATTTAGCTTAAGTAGATCTGGTACTAATATTGGCAGTTAAACAGTAAAATTTTTAAGGACCATTTACATTGCACATTTAATTTAGTATAGCTGTTGTATGTGTAGTTTAGAGTACAGTGATGACATTACATACCAAAGCATCAATGACATGTTGTGTTAATGAACAAGTTTATTCATTCATCAGTTTTCACTTTCATTTACTAATCCTAAATCAATATGCAAAACTCCTACAGCCAAGTGTTATAGGTTTGCATGACCATATAAAATATGCTAGTTGCCACTATCATAATGGAGTAATATTTTATGTTTTATAACTCATTGTTACAGCACTAAGTACTGTAGATCTGCATGGCCATATAAAATATGCTAGTTGCCACTATCATAATGGAGTAATATTTTATGTTTTGATAACTCATTGTTACAGCACTAAGTACTGTAGATCTGCATGGCCATATAAAATATGCCAGTTGCCACTATCATATTAAAAGGATACTTTTATGTTTTAGTAACTCTTTGTTACAGCACAATGTCAAACTTCTGCCTACAGCCAACCAAGTACTGTAGGTCTGCTTGAAAGTGTTGTTATTTTTGTTTAATAAAACTTGACCAATGTATTTTCTTAGATTTTTTTTTCAGTTCTTACCTCTTACAGTTTTTTAGTTCAATAGCAAAATGTATGGTAATTCAATTTATATTCTTAAAGTCTACAAGAAAATAAGTTTTGTTTGAAGTTTTTCTATAATGTTTGCATTATCCACCTTCTGAGATGCTTGTTTGTAACATGTGTGTATGTGAGAGCATAAATCTAGTTATATTAAACTTCTAATAATCTGGTTAATTCTGTATAACATGCTAGTTTTCATGAGCTATTCTCACTTCATTGGGACTTTTTTGCTGACAGTTCTCAGTAAATCTTCTTCTGAAGTCAATAAAATTAAATACATTAATCTATGAATATCATTTAAAGTAGAATCAAAAACACATTTCACATTCAAAAGAATATTCTCTTTTTTTTAAATATTAATTTTATGATGATAACTTAGACAGATGAGAAATACTTAAATAAAACTTAAACTGAAACTTGTTGTTTTGTTTTGTATTTTTCTCTGAGGAATGTTTAGTTGTTTTAACTCATCTCCATTATCAGTACCTTAACCATATTTAAATGCGATAAAAATCACATTAACTGGAGACGTTTTTTTTTTTCACATTCCTCTTAATTTGTCCAATTTATGGATTCAAAGGCATATACAAATAGCATCTCAGGTGAATCTCTTTTCTCCCACAAGTCAGTGCCCAAGAGACCTGTCATTAATACTGGAACTCATCAGTTGGGCTAGATGTTGAGAAACAAAAAATTCTTTGAAATGCTATTTATGTGTAGTATAATACTTTAAAAGTTATTGTTTAAAATAACAAAAGCTGGAGAAGAATTGAAAACTAATAGGCCTAAAAGTTGTGATAAAAATTACATGAACTGAAGAAACATTTGCAGTTAGCATGATTCCTACTACAAATTTTTAATGCTTCTCTAGCTTTTAGTGTTTAAACCATAACTCATATTTATATCTATTAATAAATAATTGATGCCACCATATCACTAACCAGTGAATAGTTACAACACATATACACTCCTCTCAATTACATGATCATCTATTCAGTCATGCTCTCTGTACTTCTGTTAGTAATCTGCACTTTCTTACTGTAACACTCCTCTCTAAACTTTATTTCTTTCTCCAAATATAGTATAATCGTGGATATCGTAAAAGAAACTTCTAAGTCACCTTGAAGGCATTCAATAATTTGCAAGTTTGCCTTTTATGTTCATCTTCTGTGTTCTCTTAAGTAGAATTTAGAAATCCTTTTGAAATGTTGCAAGTATCCTCAGGATTTCTTAGCTCTGATCTGAAATTGTTCAGTTCAGCTGCCCATAGCCAAACTATTTACTGTTCTGCTGCATTAAAACACCTTAAAAATCTTCTAAACATTTAGAAGTTATCATTATGGAAAATTAGATGTAATTAGGTTTTCAAGTTTGAGAATAAATAGAAAATTAATTTATTTAAAGTTACTCACGTTGATATTAAATGTTTTGGCCAATAGTAACAACCAATCTTTTGCACTTTCTTCCTCAAACAATAGAATGCTGACAAACATTGAAGAACACCTAGAAAACTCATATCATAGCTTCAAGAAAGCTATAGACCCATTTAAAAAACATGAAAAAGATCTTTATAATTATTTGAGTTTGCTAATTGCTTATTAAAATAACTATGTTCAATATCTTTTATTCAGTATACTCCTCGAGTATTCCTTTTTTTTAAAGATTTTTCCTTGTCCATTTAGGTTTTAAAAACGAGCTGTTCAATTAAACTTGCTATCTGTAACAAGTACTTATGAATATGTATAGAATTTCAGTTACTTTTAAAGCTTAACACGTTTCTTGGAAGTGAAACTAGTGACTCAGATCACTAGACAAAGTATTCAGGTTTTTATAACAATAAACATCTGTTAAATAGCTCCCTCATGGTAGAAGCTCTAGTAGTCATAGAACTATTAAGATGTTTCAATAATTGAAGAAGTTAAACTTTAATTAATGGTAGAAAAGAAAATTAAAACAAGCTCAAATGACAACTATAGTAACAGCAAAGTGAAGTGTGTACAATCAGCAGGATCGTCACAGGCTTGAAACACAGACAGGACTTCACCAGCAAGTCTTGGATCTTCCAAGTTAGATACAAATCCTGTTTCCTCAAAAGTCAGAACAAATTTAGTATGTAAATGCCAAAACTGCATTTATAATACACATTCGTGCTGTAACTAACCAATCAGAAAACAGGTACTGTAATGCAGAAATATTTCTGCTTCATTTCTGCAAGGTAGTCCCCCATAAACAAGGTAAAGTAGAATACAATGCCACTATCTCATGATGAACCAGACATTTTACAGGAAATAACAACATGGGACAAACTTAGCATACGACCTCAATAGAACTTAAGCTGATCCATATTTAGGAAAATTTTATGGGTGTGAAATATTCACTAGGGTAGTAAAGTATTGGTATTTGTTTGCTACAGCACATTAAGCTTGAAGGTAATTGAATAGTAAATGGTACTTGAACTTTTTTTTTTTAGAAACTATCATTTTTATTAGAAAGACAGAAAGATGTACATACAGATATGAGTTTATTAGTGTAGAAACAAAACACAATTTCAAAATATATTTTTAAAGAAGGTTTTGCATTTTATGAAATATTCACAGATTTATAGAGAATGTTTACAAAAGTACTATATGTTGTTTTGAGGACTTAAAACTGAATGGAGATTTGATAAAGTTCTCAATACAACCCTTGTAAAAAACATAGTTTCAATAGTTATATACTGTGATCTATATCTGTATATCTCTGTAGAAAATGGTGATCCTGTAGTTCGAAAGTGTGAGGGAGATTTCATTGTGGGTGCTTCCTGGGGACCTGTTAAGGGATCCTGTAGAGGAACACTCAATAAAGTCACCCTAGCCCTAAACAAATTAAGTCAGGTAAGTTTGCTGGACTTGTAAAGAGCAACCAGTGATAATTTTTGTCTTATTTTGATTTTAGTAAAGAATATGATATAAGTTCAGTAATATCAGGGAATAGATTCTTTACACACTTGAGTAGTATATTTGAACTGTTAACTACTCATGAAGAAGTAAACAGGTTAAACTTCGGAATAGTTAATGTTCAGTTACTGGAGTCTTTCCTGTATATTTATTGTTAGTATTACATGGGATTATTTTATTTTTCATATCTTGTTAAGATAATACTTTTTTTTCTTTCTGTACTGTAATGTAAAAGAAGTCTGAAAATGGATAGAGCAACAAGTAGATTTAGTTAACTATGTATTGATTTTTAATTATCATGCACTTAGTTTTCATTTTCCATATATGTGACATCATCTGCTTTACTTTGTGATAATTCCAAGCACACGTTACCGTATTCTTTCGAAATGAGGATAAAAATTTCTCATGCAAGTTTTGAACCTTCCAAGTCAGAAATGAATCTATCTGAAAAGTACCAAAGTGCATTCACAATTCATCTTCTCTTTGTGGCTAACCAATCACAAAATTAGATCACAAGAATCCAGAAAGCTCCCTGTTCCATATTACAGTCATAGAGCATTCTTCTATAAGTAAGGTAAAGTAATACACAATATAACTATTCCATGAAACAGTAGATAATTTCCATGATTGGACCCTTGTTCCAGAAAGTTCCAGATTTAGGATGTTCGAAATCAAATTTAAAAACATTTGAACAATTTGTAGATATGAAATAAATATAGTAAATGAGAGTGAAATATATCATATTTGTGTACTACAACCACTTTATCCTTGAAAACAGTTTAATATGGCTGTATACAAACGAAAATCATAATATAACTAAAATGTGCACAAACTGGGGAGATTGCATGAAAGAGGTGGTGAAACATACCATAGAAAAAAAAACCCATAAAACAATGATATGTTGATAGTGTATTTCAACCCTTTATGAACTGAAGAAATGTCATTGGTATCACCTGATATTTTTTATTTTCACAGTGGAAATACTTAAATGACATGAAAGTCAGAAGCAACTTATGGTATCTAGTTTCAGTTTAAAAAATTCATATGATTTTATATTGTTTTTTAAATTTTCTTTGTTGTGAAATTTAAAACATTTTTTTGTGAGACACAGGTTTTAAAAGCATCAAAAACTACTTCTTTTAATTTTTTATAATTTCAGTTTTTAAACTTTTGGTTAGAAAGTTTCGTTTTATTTATCCAACCAGATTCAACTATATTTATATTTATTGGCTGTTTGCAGTAGTCACCACTTCAGGTAATAAATAGTCAAAAAAATAACAAAAACATAAACTAAAAAAGATTTATCAATGACCTAGATACTGACCTTTCAAAATGACATCAGGTCAGACTAGATAACATAAGTTTTACTTACAGTATTTTGGTTGAGATCAATTTATATATCATAACTATAGTTTCTTTTCAATGAATTATAAGTTCTTTTATTTATGTATGTTATTTGACTAGAATAAATTTAACAATGATACTCAATAAATATGTATTTGAGACATCATAATACTTTGCCATCAGTCCAAGCATCTAAAAAATCTGTGGATTTTTGAATTTCCACAGATGCTATCTTAAACTTCGATACCAGTGTAAAACCACTGTGACTGGATATAAAGTGGTGGAAAAATTATTGCATCACCTAATTTTTTTCACACTTTCTTGATTCCTGTAATTTTGTATGAAATTGTACATTGTGGAAGTGTCAGAACTAGTGTAAAATGGTTATGGACATTATGTGATATAAGCTGACTCATATTTCAGTCATACCAACACATATGTACATCTTTATTAACAAACCAATTGTGATAAATGTATTACAACAGCTGATCAATAAATTCCTGGCAAATATAAGGATTTTCTCTGAGTGAGAAAACCTAGATTTAAAAATAATGCCACTAATTCAATTGACAAAATGTGATTACACGTGGATTAGAACTTCTTGCAGTTCAAAGCTGCTTCTTGGTTTTTTGTCTTACACTTTGTTACCCAATGCCTTCCAGCAGTTTTTGATAGAATTGAGATCTAACTGTTTTCAAGACTGAGCTTTATTCAGATTAAATGGTGTGAGATCATAAAAGGGTGGAAATGAAAGCCTGCAGTAATAAAATGGGAGAAAAAGAAGAAAAATATTTTTTCAATGAATAATAGTTTCTTAGTAAATATAAAGCTATGCTTTTGGATGGGCAGAAAAAAAATGGAAAGAAAAATCAATAAGTCTATTGTGTATAGGTAGGATTCCTTGGAGCTGGCCCGGCATGGCCAGGTGATTAGGGAGCTTGACTCGCAATCTGCGGGTCGCGGGTTCGAATCCCCGTCACACCGAACATGCTCGCCCTTTCAGCCATGGGGGCATTATAATGTGACGGTCAATCCCACTATTCGTTGGTTAAAGAGTAGCCCAAGAGTTGGCGGTGGGTGGTGATGACTAGCTGCCTTCCCTCTAGTCTTACACTGCTAAATTAGGGACGGCTAGCGCAGATAGCCCTCGTGTAGCTTTGCGCAAAATTCAAAACAAACAAACAAATCCTTGGAGCTGTGCAGAAATGAAAGATTGAATATTTTTGTAATTTTTCTTTGCAAATTATGCTTCATAAATGCTACAAAATGACAATTAAAAATTTCTTGAGTTAAAAATTGTTGAAATACAATTATAATTAATACTTTTTATTTATCCAAGTGTGTGATAAAAACCTGAAAGGTGCTTTGCAGTATAGATAGGATTTAAACAAAATAAATTAAATGTGCTAAAACTGATAATAAACTAATATAAATAAAACTTTAAAGATAAAGAGTTAACAACAACAAAAAAAAAAGACAATGCAGCATAAAATGGAATAAAATGCAAAAATTAATATTACTGTCATTATATAACTAAACACAAAGGATTATAGATTGGACCTTCACTGGAAGCTCCTGGATTCCTATTCTTATGGCTAGAGTTGATGAAGAAAAGTTAGTTGATGGTGAGTGGTGTTGCAGGCATAGCCACAGCTCTTATTGTTTCTGCTGATTTGTCTTTTCTTGCTGAGTGGGTCTCTTTATCTGATAAATTAGGAAACTTATCCATGGTTCTCCTACTTAGCAGTTCAGCTTACAGTTTTTTTGTGGTTTTTTCAAGCTATGTTCTCCTCACAGTTGGGCCCAGATTTTGTTTATTCTGACATGACTGGTAGAGGGCACTCAGATACACAACATTTATATTGCAACATAACAATATCATTTCTACTTTTCTCACAAGAAAGCTCCTTGTTTATCACACGTGGGACATAAAGTCAACCATGCTGCTCAGAAACAGTCACTTAACCATTTTCAGCATTACATTATTTTCTCTGACTTTGGATAATCTGCTCAAGAATGACTGAAATTATTGGTGGTTCTTGATGGTTCGGTCTCCTCAATGGGAGTATATAGCAGGAAGCTGTGGAACATATATCTGGAATTGTATCTGCCACATTTGACAATTGTAGAGCAATACCACATAGAGAAGTTAACGTTGAACACAAAAAAGTAGATAGTAGTCACAAGTGGGCCCTGCTACAGAAAGTAGCCACTAGGTCTGAATTAGTACATAATCTTGACTGGTCTTAGCATGTTATGAAGTAGAACAAGAGAAATTTATAATTTTTGCACTGTAGTAGAGTTAGGAGATGTGGTATTTACATACTACACTATTAATAAAAACTTTTGAAGTATGATGATCCATTAAAAAAAAATGAGACCTGCCATAAAATGAATTAATCTGACTTATACATTTAACAACTAACCCATTTCAATCTACTGGCTCTATGTTCATTCACATATGAATGATTTATGAGACAAACATGGAGTACATATGCAAAAATATGGAGAAATGTCCATTATGATAAACTTTTATCAAAATCCAACAGTCATTTATAGAAAATTTAATAAAACTATGTTACAGATTTTAACGATTTTTTGGGGGGTTATTTTTGGATTGTACAGCGATGATCTCTCAGCTGTGTAGATGATGATAAACTTTCATTGGAACTTCTATTAAAGTTTGGTTGTGCTGAAGCTGATGTTTGTGATTATGTGTTATTGCCTGCCAAAGATTTGCAGTTATCATTTTAAATAAGCTTTTGCAAAGGATGGTGGGATCAATAGACTGAACGTAAAAAAGTTCATTAGAACAGCAGCAAGTGACTTAACAGATATATGGTCAAATGAGATTGCTATGATTTTAGTTTCCTGTGCAATATTTCTTATGAAAACAGCCACTGATTTCAAGGAGTAGCTGTAAGCTTGTGAATTTTGGTCTTATGAGCCTTTGTCGTCTTTAAAATTCTTGCTCACTATCTTCATAATAATCTCAAGAGATATTCTCTACTTTCTCACAACATCTTTTTGGGTTATAATGTTCTCTTTCATAATCATAACATTCACTGCCTAGATGAGGGCATCACTTTAGATTGGTGTGGAATTGGTTTAGGAGCTTGTTGCTTTCCTAAATGCTGGACTGTTTTCACTTCCATGGAACACCCCAGTGGCTCAGCAGTAAGTCTGACAGGCTTATAGCATTAACAATTGGGTTTTGATACTTGTGGTAGACACAGCACAGATAGCTCTTTGTGTAGCTTTGTGCTTAACAATAAACAAACAGACCATTACCATAAAGAATATTTAAAGCATTCTTTTTTAAAGTATTATACCACTTGGCTCAACTTTACTTAATATCTCACTATTCAAATATATTTCTTTGTACAAGACTATAAGTTAGTTCTCCAGCTACTAGTGTGCCCAAGATAACAGTGCACTATTGATTAGTTGAAAATTCAACATGAACCATGTAAAAGTGCTAGACATGTTGCCCATTCTGCCACATTTTGGACCTTCCCCAGTACACTTTCTTATTAATGTATGCTTATTGCTTTGAGAATTACTCTTAACCCTATGCACAGGTTATTTTCTGTACAGCAGTAGATACGAATTTTTTTTTAACTATTTTTTCTTGATTAAGCTACTGCAATTTTGAATTCATGTATATCAGTCCTTTTTTTAATAGATTGAAGTAAATATAAACTTGTGTTTTTCTTTCTAGGTTAAAGTAAGAAAAGATAATACTATTAATGTATCTAGCAACATGAAAAAATTGATAGAGGACCATGATATATTTTGTGCACTTGATGTCTACTACGTTGCAAAAATAATGGAAAAACTTTCACTTGTAAACACCACAAATAACACTGTAAGTATCCTTACTTTAAAAATATAGAATAATCTTCTCTTTTTTTACGTTTTCATTTTCCGAAACATAAGGTTTGCATATATATATGTTTTAAACAAAATTAACATTATGTTGTATTGACAAAATCAAGACTGATGAACACTTTATTTCTTGCCTTTAATTGTTTTATATTTTGAAAAAGAAGTTAAAAAGCAAGATAATTTCAGATATAAAAGTTCGTTTGTGAAATTACACTATATATTTTTTTTTCAGCAATGATTTAGGAAAGTTTTATTGTATGATGTAGATCATTTTATGTTTTAGGTGCTACACAATGTTGTTTGTGCTGTTGATAAAATTCTAGAAATTGAAGAATCCATATTAGAATCTTCCCAGAGAAAAATAAATGCTACCAGCATGTAAGTGTTTATCTTAAAAATCATGAAAGCATAAATGTAATGATGCTAAATCTAAACAGTCTGACATAAAGCTTTCTATAGTGTTAGAAAATAAAACACAGTGGTGTGGTATATACCTGTCATTGAACTAATTGATTAGTAAATATTTTGGTTGCATTTATATCATATCACAGTAATGCAGAGGGTTTAGTACATTATATTACAATGATTTTTAATCTTCAAGCAAACATGTTATGTGACAACCTCAACCAATATAAAGTTGCAGTGGAATAGTATGTGTCAAAACTGCATTTTAACATTGTTTAGCATTTCATAGGTAGTCTGATGCCACCCTTTACAAAGTAAAATTTTCATATAATCTGATCATAAACATGTTCAGATTAGAGATTTGGAATGTACAAAATGATGATATCTTTTGTATTTAATGCCATTAGAAAAAAAAAATACAGATCATCTTGGAGAAACAGGACCATCCAGAAAGAGACCTGCAGCAGGGTGTACCCTTGCCTTGGTAAGCAAAGTGTGATGACTTGTAACAGGAGAGAATCTATGAATGGAATAGTCAGTAGCAAAAGCAGTCGTGTGTCTCAGCCAACAGTATGAAAGGTATTAAAGAAGGAGCTCTCTCTGGAAAAGCAACAAAAATCACATGTACACAGGTTGTATCCATGACATATCTGTTCAACTGTTGTATACCTCAAGCAGCTGGAGGATGAAATGGGTATTTATACTATTCCATAGAAAGACATATCACTCAAGTCACCAGATGAAGCACTTATAGATTTTTTTTCAATCAGACTTTTGGAACAGGTGCAAGGAAACAATCATCATTGTTTACAAGATGTATGTTTGAAAGAATGTAGGGAGGAGTGATGTAATTTGGACATGATTGCCTTATGATCAAACTATGCAGCAGGGCTATTGTCAAGTTGCTTGATTATATTATTGAGTATGACCAAATGTGGCATTATTGATGGCAATGATATAGTGAGGCTCCAAAATCATTTTAATATAATGTACTCAACATCTCTATAGCTTCTGATAAACTCATTGGATAAATTGTTTGAGCAACAGAATAACTATTGCTTTGGAAGTTATTTTAAAGTTTAACTAGAACAAAAAAGCCTTCTTGCATAAAGTTTATCTTGACTAGATAATAAGTTTGTTGAGTTCAATCTAGTTGCAAGATTGCGACTAAAGAGCATCAGTTTCAGCAAATTAATAAACTTGAAAGTTACTGAATGTAGAGTCTGTGAAATTTTTAATTTGTATTGAAAAATTGTAATTATTTTAAAAGCAGTTACCATCAATCTTTTATCAGTTTTCATTAACGAAATGTATTTTTGTATATAGCTCTGTATAGTTAAACTTATTTAAAAATATATATATATATGTGTAGATGTTTCAAGTTCACTTTATTGTTTAACAATTACTTTTCTATTATTTTTTTTTCATTGTTCTTGTAATTTGTGTTTAGGGTTTATAAGAATTATATGTGTGACATTTATATGTTAATGGAATTTCATCAGTTTCTATATAAATTTATGAGAAGTTATATTTATTTTTACGTTTTTAAGGGTGTAGTAGGTGAATTTATGCTTCCCTTATGTGATCTAAGCTCATTTAAAGATTCTGTAAATGCAGTACTGAAAATGCTAGTAAAACTATATCTTTTTTAGTTGCTATAATAATAGTAAAGTATGTGATGTTCAATCCATAGTTATAAAAACTTCACAACATTTTGGACCTCTGTTATGAAAGTAGTAGCTATCTGATCTTAACTTTCTTGGAGGAATATGCATTATTCCTGGTCCAACAGTCATAAAAAGTTTTGAAAGTCCATGAAAGTAAAACAAGTACATTTTTTTATTACTATTTTTAAAAGGAAATAAAGAGTTATTACCCTACTGGAGAGAACAACATATGTCGGTTCACAATGAAATAAATTGATTAAAGCAATTTTAAAAAATCTGTCCTGAGAGTGAATATGAGAAAGGTTTGTATAGACATACATAAGTATTGTTGAAATATTGTATTTTCACACACATAGTTAGTAGTATCATTTGATAGCTCTGAAAGAGAATGTGTTCTTTACCTAGATAATCTTTTCATACAGCTGCTTTTTGTTTAGAGGGGTGAAAAGAAAATGTTCAGCTTGACATAACTCCTTTTACAAGTGTATAGTGTCACCTTTAGTCTATCTTTCTAGAATCTCTGGGCCATAAGAAATGTTTTCCTTGTTTCTGATGTGGAAGTAACTTATTGTTGTTCTGAAATGTTAAACTGGACAAAAAATGTTATCTAGTTGTCAGAAACAGAATGAGAGTGATGTGTTGTGAAAATTCAGTGTCCACAAATATGTCTTTTCTTTGTTTCTCTGTACCACATAACTTTTTTTTTCTGGTGATTTTCCAAGTCTTTTTGTTTTAGTTATGGGGTTGCCACATCATGTCCCAAGGTGTGTCACCATGTTTTCCAAAATTGCAGAAAATGTTTTGTTAAGTTTTTATTTTTATTTATAACTGTTATAAAATTCAGTAATATAAAGTATTTTTGAATTTGCTCACTGATGTGGCACGCAAAAAATTATCTAATGTTTTATATTTCTTCTTGCACACGACCTGAAAAAGGTTCGCCAACACAACCTTGTGTAGCAGCAGGTAAAGTGGGGAGCCCTGATGCGCCAGTATATACTAGTTTATACTCATCTCTGCAGTGTCGAATCATTTTTGGTATGTACATAATGTGTCGCCATCAAAAAAGTTTGGAAAAGCACTGCTCTAAGCTATTGTCTTATAGTAAAGTTTCTTTTTCTTTTTTCATCATTTAGCAGTATTTTTTTTCTCTGTCTCTTTTTTTTTTTCTCTCTCTACTTATCTCTGTTACCTACTTCCCATAGTAATCTGTAGCAAGACTACTTTTGCTGAACCAGTTTATTTTCTCCTGGTCACATAAGAGGTCAGGACATCACCATGTTAATCATCATAATTGGAAGTGAGTCAAGGCAAGATTATGATTTATCTACTTGAGAAAAATTTTGCATAAAAAAAAGTTTGAAAAATTCATATGACCAACACCAAAAAAAGTTAAATATTCCAATCAAAATAACCCTATTACTTTTTTAGTTATGATAATTTTTAAGTTGATTGAAACTGAATGAACTTAGTGTGTTCCTCCTTTACTATTTATAATTAAAGCAAAAATATACTGTTTTTTATTTTATTTTTTTGCAGGATTGCCAATGCTTTAGAGAAGATGTTAAGCAGAACACAAGCTAATGTCTCACTATCCCTAAAGCAAGTAGCAGTGTCAAGAAGTGTAAATTATCAGTTTCAACCTGCTGAAGAGATTCAAGTTGGAATCCAACTATACTCAGTTTCCTCAGTTAAATCTAAAAACTCTTTGCAACCGGTCAAATACAGAGATGAATTTCCTGCTTCAGATATTACAGCTGGTATTGATTTAACATCAGCCATCATAAAGAACCACACACTGTCTGAAAAATATGGCACATCAATCGCACTTGAATTTATTGTATATAAGAATGGAAAGCTCTTTTCTTCCAGTTCTTCTACTTACAGAAGTATTGCAGTAGGCCCAGTAATTCTAGGAAACATTGCACCTGGTCCTGTATATGATCTGGATGTCCCTATTAGGATTGTGTTTAATCTTCCAGAGGTAACCTTTGTATTAATTATTTCTAAACATGTAGCTAGATTTTCAGTTAGTCACAATATAATGCTTATCATAAATAATTTTTGGTATTTTGTTTTAGAAATTCAACACAGTAGATGAAAAAAGATTAAAGTGTATGTTCTGGGACCAAAGACTTGGCAACAACGAGGGAAGTTGGAGCAGTAAGGGATGTCAGCTTGGTGAGAAAAAGAACAACAGATTTACCTGCCTTTGCGACCACCTGACACATTTTGGAATGATTTTTTTGGTAATTAATTTTTGTGAAATGTGAAAAATTATATTATGCAACTTTCTGTCATAATGCTTGTTTCATTTGTGAGAAGTTTTATTTCCTGTTGATAGAAACCATAAACACCCATGTGTCAGGGTTTTTTGTATATGTGTTCTGAGGATTCTTCTGCAGTAGGTGTCTGTGACTTGTTGGGCAGCTTAGGCCAACTGTCCCTGACCCCATTGTCATTCTTGGGTCCTTCTTTCTGTTGGGTGAGCTTGTGCTCTTATTTTCTCTATTTCTAGTCTCTCCTCTCTCTCTTTTTCTTCTTTCTCAAATTGTGCTCTTATTCTTTCTATATGCAGTCTCTCCTCTCTTTTTTAGTCTTCTGTTGCTGCTCTTCTCTCTCTAGTTCTTATTGTTATTTAACAAACTCTCATAGTTCACTATCTTTTAACCCAAAATGTTCACCTCTTTCTATGCATTTATCAAAATCAGCTGACAAGATAATACAGTGTGATTGTAATCTCTACACAATTTTTGTCACCACTACAATTTTGCATATATAGGCCTACTTATTTCTGCTGTCATTCACTTCTTTTTCTACTGCCATTTTCCAATGTATAATCCTGGCTGACTCGCCAAAATGTCAGGGTTTTATGTATCTGTGGGCTGAGGATTCTTCTACAATAGGTGTCTGTGACTTTTTGGCGATAAATGTCAACAATAAACGAACAGCACACAATCTTGTTTTAAAATAATATATTCAAAACAAGTCAAATGTATGTACAAAAATTCTTTACACTATAGAAAATCACAGTTTTATCTAAAACTAAATAATTCTCTTTTCTTGTCAAAAATCCACTTAGGCTGATTCAATTCCTTTGAATCCAATTTACAAGACAAACTATTTTTCTCTACTCTTATCACAATAGTATCCTGTCCCACCAAACATGCTCACCCTTTCAGCCATGGGGACATTATAATGTGACGGTCAATCCCACTACTCTTTGGTAAAAGAGTAGCCAACTAGTTGGTGGCAATGACTAGTCTTTCACTACTAAATTAGGGATGGTTAGTGCAGATAGCCCGCGTGTAGCTTTGTGCGAAATTAAAAAAAAATTCATATCATTAGTTCTTAACTTGTGCTCACTTGGTTGCCTGTATGTACACATAGATCACTGAGGAATCGAACTTTTCGTAAAGTACACGAATGGCGCTGATTTAACAATATTCAGTTAAGGTAATGAGGAAAGTTCGAGTAATGTGATGTCAACAATATTAGTAAATCCTCAACAACAATATATTTACAAATACAATGTATGACTCATACAAAGTTACGTAACAAACATTTGTCACAACTAACACTTTTAACTAAACAATCATTAATCGACTCATTTTTCGGAAAACATAGCTTAATGATAAAACAAAACACGAACTTAATAACAGGAAGCATTTATTAAACATTTCAGAATCTTCATAATTCCATCATCAGTGCTAACTTGCTTACCATATCTTGGAAGACAGAGCTCACTTATCTCGAAACAGTTGAAAAAGTTATGTAACACTTATTATCCCTAAATTGATCTGAAAGTTATTATGAAACCTAATTTCAGACTAAAAATATTTTCTGCTACAATGATCATTTGCCAACTGCCCATTGTTCACATCTCATCTAGTTATACATGTGCAGAGACTGTAAGACCTCCTATATTGGTGAAACCAAACGTCACCTTAAAGTACAAGCATATGAACACATGGGCATAACTATAAAAACTGGAAGAAAGGTTACCACTCCTCCCAACTCCGCTATCTATCAACACAAATAGGACATCCGATTTCTCTCTCAAACTTTAAAGTTCTTTCAACAGCCAAACATGATACTGAACTTCTTATAAAAGAAAAAAAATTATACATAAAAACTCTTCTCCTGTCCCTAAATAACACACAGTCTTCACTGCATTTAAACCTATTTTAAATATTTCACTTGTGCCTCAGTTTTCATTTTCTTGTGTTATATTTGTATATAACAAATTGTTTATTTCTTATGTATATATTGCTGTTGTAATTACAAATATTGTTTATTTGTTTTGTACCTCTAGATTACTGATGATGGAATTATGAAGATTCCAAGACGTTTAATAAATGCTTCCTGTTATTATGTTCGTGTTTTGTTTTATCATTAAACAATCATTAAATATTAAGTCACAAAGTAAACTAAATAGTAACACTTACACTAAACAGTCTTGTATATCCAACACCATGAAGTATTCACACACATACACACACACACACACACATATATATATAGAGAGAGAGAGAGTATGCACCCCATTTGAAGATCTTCCAAATTTTTATAAAAGCTTTGTATCTGTGTATAACATGCTTCTCTGTATTTTCAGAACTTTAACTTTGGAGTGATTCTTAGGAAAATAATGGTTTTTTTTTCAGGAAATAACAGCCCACTAGAGAACATTTTTTTGTTATATGACTATTTATGTAGCTTTGCAAATTACCTATATACAAGTGTTTTGTTTTAATCCTATTTCTGTAATATCTTAGGAACTTTAAATTCTGATCTGAATCACCAGCCAGTTCATATCCAGCACAGTGTTGTCAGTACTACTTATAAATAAGTGGAATTGGGCTTGCTTTTGCTAAAAGTCACTTTAATTTTTTTAAAGTTGCAGGTTTCAGTTTTCTGCATTTGTTTTCTCTTGAGGTCCCTTATTTGAGCTTTCTTGTAATAGCTGACTTCAGCACATATATTAATGGTTGTAGGAGTGTTTTTGGTGATTGACTGGGTCAATGAATTGTCTATATATCAAAAAAGTTTGAGAATCATCTATCCCTACTCCTGTTTAATTAAAAACACACCCACAACTGGGAAAACCACCATTTTGAGGGTAAGTCATAAAAGAGTAATTTTGGAAATCAACAGCTTATTTTTGTCATGCGACTTGGGAACATTCATTGATCCAGCATGTACTACATTTTGTACACAGATCTACACTATGAATAGAATTAGTAAATGGAATCTGTTCACAGCCACAAGATCAACCTTGTGACACTTGTAAATGTATTGAAATAGCTGCAACTACACATCAACCATCATAGAACAGCTGCAGTTAACAATTAGTATGTCTTGAATTTAAAACACTATAATCTAACTATTTACATTTGTTTCATTAAGTACAGAAAGTCTCTGTATGTTTTACACAAGAAAATACTGTTGTTGATTGCAGATAAAGTTTACTAATGTGCATTGCTAATGTTTGTACAAAGTCATGACAGTGACTTACAGATTACATTGTACATAAAAGCAATCTGAGTGAGCGTATGTAAACCAACATATATTTGTGATAAAACTCAAAATAGGTGTTTGAAATATTTAAGTCATGTTGTGTCCATCTTGGCTACAGTTACATTTTGTAAATTGTATCATGTAGTGTATAGCTGTATAAATTGCTGATTGGTTAATATTTCTGCAATGAACCAGCAAATGGCAGCATATTTAAAAGTTTTTTTCTTAAGTCAATATATTTTTGGATACAAAATTGTCACCAATGATTTGAAGTCAGGTTTGAAGATGCAAATTTGACATTCTTACATAAGGGAGACTAAAAAAAGGAAAAAGAACATTGTGCATTATACTTAAAAGTGTTTTATATCTTGATTCATTAAGATTTCAGATACTTCTGTACAAAGTTGACAAATTTCATTACTTTTAAAGGAAAAACAATTATCACACACATCGTTTTTTAAAAAAAAGAGTGATAAAATCTAATTTTTTTGGCCTTAACATGAAGAAAAAGGAGCTGTTATTGTACATTAGTAATTTAATCCAAATTTATACTTGTTGTGAAACTAAATGAAAAATAAATGTATCTTATCTACTTTTTTATGTTCATTCAGTTTGGTTATCACTGATTAGTATTCCAAAGTTATGTACCCACTGTCTTATAGAGTGTTGTGGTCTGAGTTTGTGGCAACTAGAATACTACGAAATGGTATATTTTGTCAGAGTTTTCATATTTACATGTGAAAACGAGGATAGCATGTATCAGAACAGATTCCACACAAGCATATCAACATAACTTCAAAGGCTAACATTTGTTGCAGTCATACCACAGGTAGCTATAAATTGTATACAATCAACAAACAAACTATATGTTTCAACAGTACCTGATATACTGTCAAAATAATAGTATGTTTCTTACAAGAAATGTCGTAGTGCTTATAAATACTTGTTTGTTAATTTACCACGTAGAAGCTTGTAGTTTTTTAATTAATTAGTCAAAAGTATAAAAAAAATAATTTAAAAATTAAAAATACTTGAAGCTTTCTATAGAGAACAAAAAAGCGACACCACATTATTTAAAAAAAATTACTACAGAACTTGTAACTACTGTAAATAATGGTAGCTTTCAAAATGTAACAGATATTAGGTTAGAAAATATTGATAATTAATATCCTGATAAAATTTACTTCAGTAAAAATTCCAAATAGCAGGTGGACAGTAAAAACAACTGAAACATCATGAGGATTCACTTTAGACATTTTTACATAACCTGCTGGCTTATAGGTAGTTTATTGATAGAACCATTTTATGAACTATATTGTCCAAGTGAAAAAGATTTTAATAATAACCATACAGAATCCAGTGCACTCATTACCAATTTGTAATTATTGTAGTGCTAACTGAAAGTTGTTTAAGCATTGATTGTTACTCAGTAAAAAACAGAATAAAAATCAAGTAAGTTTACAACATAAAATATTTAAATTATTATGTGATTTAACATGTTATGTGTTTGATTTTTGGTTGTTTCATTCATACCTCATTTTCCATAAATAGCTAGAAGTAGTAAGTAAAACAGAAAATATGGAGAAACATGATAATTAACTGTTAGCATATTGCTCAGTAAACAGAAGTTTAAATATTTTCTAAGATCCTAAAAACTGGAAGAATGAGAGACATTTGTAACATAACAGGATCTGTTACAGATAGAGGAATTCTAACCAATCCAAAAATGTTTGTGAATGGTCCAACTTAGAGAGTTAGAACCATGATTCAAGACATTATATTTTGTCATAAATAAGAAAGTAGATCTATTATGGAGAAAAAAGACAAATTGTGCTGTTTAGTTCTCACTGTAAATAAAAGTCCAGAGGTACAACTTTTGAGTGGATTGCTTATTTTTTATTTAACTTTATTTATGTTCCAACCACTTGTGTGGATATCATCAGGTAACTCTCGTCTATTGTCAGTTATCTGATGATGGCCACAAGAGTGATCGAAATGTTTAATAAAGTTATATAAAAAATAGAATAAACAATTCACTCATATGCTCTACCTCTTGACTTTTATTTAAAGTTTATAGTGGATTTCCTCTCCTCACAGCAATTAAATCTCATTGGTTGTAATGACTTGCCCTGTATCTATCTTGTGGTCTGCAATTAAAGATGCTCTGTGTGTGAACAGTCTTGTCTAGCTGTTAAAAATAGTCAACTTACAGTGAAATTACAGGATAAATATTACATTATACCCCCTTGATGTTTTGAAATTTATGTACAGCTGGCAACAACACTTAAATAGCCATCAAACAACTGAGAAATAAAGTATTATACATATAAAATTTGATTATGTATTTTAGGTATGTAATCAGTAATTATTAGTAACTTATTATTAAAATAAATTTCTAAATTGAAAAAATACTTTAACTTTTGATTTTGCAAAATATACTACAAAAAACAATTAGGTTAGGACTAAGCAAGTTAATAATACTCTAGATTCTAGTTACATTTTTCTCTATTTTTCACTAATTTTAGAAATGAATTAGAAAATATACTGTGACTTGCTTAAAATTGCAGTTCAGATCAACATTAGCTTTTGTTGATTTAACTAAGTCAACAATAGAGAATTTCATCAAATAGAGGTTTGTATGGTTTAAAGGGGATATTTTTTTTCTTTGCTCTACACTCACTTTTATAACCTCTTATACAATAAAAGTATTTGAGATTGTTTGAATTTCCAGTTGAATCTTTCATTTACTTATTCTTCATCCAGTAGTTTTGACAATTTTAATATATAATAAAACTTAGATAGAAGTTATAGCATAAAGGATTTGCACAACTTTAATTTAAATCATTACTTCTTTAGCATAAATTCTACTGGATGCAGTACATTTTGCTTGTTTGTTTTGTTGTTAAGTACAAAGTACATAATTGGTTGTCTGTGCTGTGCCTACTATGGGTATTGGAATAATGTTTTTAGTGTTATAAGCCTTCAGACTTACTGGTAAGCCACTGGGGGCAGTACATTTTGATAATAATCAGTAAATATACTTTAAAATCAGTCGAACTTGAAACCAGAGGTAAATATAGTTCCATAACTGGATCTCCATTGAAAATGGAATGATACATATTTATACTTCTTTTGGAGTGTATTTAAAAACCAGCTTATAAATATTTTGTCGCTTCGTAACAAATTTTATTCCTTGTAAAATTCCATCTAAATAATTCCTACTCCTAGAAAATGATATATTTTTAACTGATTTTATAGGAAAGTGTTGATCCAGACAGTTCCACTGAGGAACATGAAGCTGCTTTGAAGACAATCACCTATTTTGGTTGCAGTCTTTCCATATTTGGACTTGCCCTAACAATTCTCACATTCGTTGTTTTCAGGTAAATTTGAATGATTTTAAATGACTTTCTTTCTTTCAGATTAATTATATGATTTATTAATCTGTTTTTCGTATTTCATTTTTGTGCAATACAAAATAGTGTGTGTGAATAATGCACATCCAAATTTCCCATTCAGTCTTGATCTTTATTAGCTGAAACTTATCATATACATGTAATAAAACTGTTTTTATTGTTATTATATAGTTGCACTGCATATAAAGATTGTAATTAGCTGCATGTTCAAATGGAGGAGCATTTGTATCAAAATTGAATTGGAATGCCAATTTTATTATTGGGTAGTGCAAGCTAATATAATATAAGTCAAATTGAAATTTAGTAATAATTAAAAAATGTTTAGAGCAAATTGCATTACATTTTGACACATATTTTATTTAGTGTATTATAAAAAATAAAAACCAGAGCAATCTTTATAAAATTTATTTTTGGATGTGTGTGTTTTTCCTTTCCCACAAATGATCAGAACAAGAGCCTAATTACATACTTTTTATCTTTGTTAATCATTTATCCAAAAAATATGCACATATGAATTCATATATCACGTGCATTTCTAGTGAACTGAATAATGCTGAAGCCATTAGGGTTAAGATCAAAGAACCACAAACACAGATTTTTTTTATGCAATTAATGTTAACTTCTGATAAGAGCAAACTATGTACTTTGAACTAAACTAAAAATCAACTAGTAATCAGTATAGTTAATTAAATATATGCTTCTTATATTTCTACTTATATAGATTAGACTGCATTGTTTCATCAGTTGGACACTCTTGCTGTTAGCATTATTTTCAGACATAATCTCAATCGTACCTCACAAAGTTTAGCTGGCTTAAACGATTTAGGTTAATCCTAAATACATATGTTAAACTATTAATGCAAAACAATTTTTGTAATACAATTACAATAATAAACAATAAACCAAAGTAAAAAGTAATGCCATTCAATATACTAAGTAGTATAATAAATACTGTGAATGAAAGTAACAATACATAAACAATATAATACACCTTACATAGGGAACATAGAATCACTAGCTGTCTGCTTGAAGTACTGAAAATTTTTAATTCTCCCTTTTAAAAAACTTTTCAATCACTTATGTTGGAAACTCTACACATTAAACGTATTTAATTTCCAATAATTTTCTTCTGTGTAGAATGTTTTGTGATAAATATTTCTTTTCAGGATCCAAAAAGTCATTTTTTGTAACATAATTTGAATATGATATGCTACATACATTCTGTAATCAATTTCTCTACTATTTGAAGATATGATGCCTAAGTTATTTATTTAGTATATTCATTCACTTAAAAATGTGTTGTTTTTTTTATATATATTGTGAGGAATGCCTTCTAAATTTTCAACTGAATAATTTATTTAAAACATAATGTTTTTTTTGTAATTTTATATGTCAGGGCTTGAAACTGACTTTCTTTTTTAGAAGGTACTCAAGGGGAATTTGTGTAAAATATTAAATTTTAGACCTGTATTTGTGATAATAATTACATTTCCTAATATGAAATGGGAAAAGAACATATATATTAAATAAATAGATTACAAACTATTGATTACATTAATTGTTTATAGGGATATCCCATCTATTAGACAATATCCAAATACTGATGTCAATCTAGTCAGCCATTATGGAAAATCATAATAAAAAAAAAGTCAAATAAGGGTACGAAGCTGAGTGCTTATACCCACAACATCTCAGCTTCTACTGCCTTTCACTGTCTATAGTCATTTGACAACCAGGACTGATAAGGGTATTGCGATATATATATATATATTGTTACGTCTCCGCTTGTTAATTAACTTTCCGTAATTTCGTTCAGACAAAACTTTAGCAACACAAGTTCTTTACTTAATAAAACTGGTTTATTCTTTCCGAATACAACTTTACCGATACACTCAACTTCAACAATCGCGCTAAACAAACGTTATAACAACGAACGTCTCTCGTGCTCTCTGACTGCAGTTCAATTACTCACTATCCTCACACACACATTACATTCCGTTCCCGTCACATTGTCACCCTCTTTTATATACCAGTCTACCCTCTATCTAGTAAATACTAGAGCATTCGCCAAAGTACAGGATAGTTCTAGAAATTAGAGGGCGCCACACCAGTCACGTGACCTCGATGACGCAACAATATATAAACTGAAACACCACTTCAACATGCTGTTTTTTACTTATTATAATAAATTTTGGGAATTTTAGTGAGAAAAATGGGGTAGAACGATGTATGACAAGCTACTGGAAAAGGCTTATCAATTGTTTATCATAGTGTGATTTTAATAATTTTAACTGAACATTCATAATTATGCCTGGATTGTGCTTATTGATGGGCACTGACTAAACAAGAGAATGAACTGATTTTTAGCCATCTAGCCACTGCTAATTTTGATCCCTGTACATTTAGAAACCTTATGTTTGATTTTCATTAAACATCCAGTATGTATGTATATATACATATAATAACTTTTTTCTTTCCTCTTTTTTGTAAAATTTTTAATTCAATATAGAGCAGAAGAAGCATATGATCAATTAAAATTGCTAAGCTAATCATGTTTAATTAAAAATAGAATAATTTATATTTTACTAGTAAATTCATAGTAAACAATTCATTAATGAGAATCTATTTTTTCAGCAAATGGAGAAAGGGGATAGGTCACCAGACTTTGTGTAATTTAGCAGTAGCTTTGTTGGGGTCCCTGGTAATTTTTCTCATTGGTATAAATAAAAAGCATGGACAAGGTCTTTGTATGCTGTCTGCTGTGCTGTTACACTACTTCTTGATGGTTTCCTTTGGATGGATGTTGGTTGAAGCTGTCTTACAGTATCTACGATTTGTAAAGGTTGTGGGCACATACATCCCCAGATTTATGTGCAAAGCTATGATATGTGCTTGGGGTATGTACATTTTTTATTTTAAACATGTAGTTTATCATCTTAAGTTGTGCTTTCTTCTTCCTTATGCTTTTCATAGTTTTTTTCTTACAGTTTTGTAAATTGCTGATGGTTTGATATTCAGTGTTTGTATTTAAAGTTTATATTGAACTAAATGGTTCAATAGCAATGTTATGATTTTTATTTAAATAAGTTCACTAATAGCTAATATAATTACATTTACAGCTGCACAAATTTTGCTAATTTAGGTGCTTCCAAGACTGATATTATAATTTATTGAGCCTTTTGTCTTTAATTTATATTCAGTATAAGACTAGCTTGTTGAAAATTTTAAGTATTTCAATCTGTTTTATAATTTCATATAAACTGATATTTTCAATAGTTATTACTATTTTTTCTGGGGGTGGGAGGAATGTACATCAACTGGTGTTTTAATACACATAATTATCAGCACGAGAGTTGAATGCATATAATATATTATGTATGATGTTCTAGTACAGCTGTACCTTAGTATTACTTATAAATAATAATACCATGTAAAAAGTATTTTTAAGTACACTACTGTATTTCTAAATATATTTTGAACTATAATATTTAGCACATTTTCAATTAAGTCTTCTCCATAATTTCATGACATCACATATTTTCCCATATTTCCATAGTTACTGAAAGACTCTTCCACATTTTATCTGCTTCCATCTGGACATTAAGACACTTTCTGAGATAATCTTCATCAATGGTCTTACTGTCTCTTTCCTTTTTCTTAATCTTTCTTTGAGTGCAATAATTATGAAAGTATAACACCATTTTTGGTTTGACTTTCGTGTTATACTTTGTTACCCTATTAGCTTCTGGCCATTTCTATCCAGTTTGTTTTATTCTTAATATGACAGAGTCCTTTAATTTCTCTGGCTGATTTTATTAACATTGACTTTTGTTCCTTCTGCTGGTTATAGAATGAGTTATACTGCACCTAGCAGTTTTTTTTTTTGTCTTCGTAGGAATCAGTAACAAGTGTTCAAGTAGTAATAGAACTTATGCTAATATTCTTGCCTTCTGATTCAGGGTTTTAAGTATCTATGATATGACTCTTACTTTCTTGCTTTACATAATTGTGTAATAAACAGCAAGTCAGCACAGCATATGTAGTATTTTCTTAATATGACTCTAAATAGTTATTAATACTACCACATTATAAAGCATAATACTCTCTATGCACATAAATTTTACTTATTTTTCCTTCTCAGAAATGTGTGTGATTGCCCTCTGAGATAAAATACAATTTTCAAGATTTCTGGTAATCTACCTATTTTAAACAATCTATTTATGAATTTAGTACAGTGAAATTGAACTAAGTTTAGTATCAGGTTTTCTTAAGGTGTTGGAGTTTGGGATTCCTTACACCCTAACAGTACCCTGAATGTAGGGTATCAGAGAAATAAACAGTATAAATGAATATTCTGTGGCACAGCTTACTCATTTTTTATTTCACATTCATTTGTTCCTTAGTTACAGTGCAAGTACCTATATTAGCCATAGTTGTAAGTTTGACATTATCTAACCAAAAGGTGAAAGTTTTATTCTGGCATAAAGATATAAAATGTCCATCAATTTGTTAATATCACTAGTTAAATACAAAGATACAATATATTTATAAATAATTTCATATGATTTTGTTTTACATAATAATTAATTTAAGCTTTATAAATAGATGAGATTTCCTCAATTAATACACCAACCACTTTAGGAGAATTTAAAATTCAAAAACAGCTCAAATGGGATAGAAAAAATATAAGATTTAAAAACAGTGTTTCTCCACTGTTAATGTGACATCATTTTTAGGAGAAAATGTAAAAGTAAAATATTTCTATAGTACACTAGAAATTTCTAAAATATTGTTGCTCACTCAGGGCCAGCACCAGACTATTTTGCACCCTAGGCAAGGCCAGCTACTTGCACCCCCCCAAAAAAAAATTGCCAACTTCGATTTTTAAGAACAGATGGTCAGTACTGCGCCCCTCTGAGGTCTACGCCCTAGGCGGCTGCCTAGTTGTCCTAATGTTAGTGCCGGCCCTGTTCTCACTAAATAATTGTAAACATACTGGTCACTTGTTTGTAGATTTAGTTAAAGCTTGGAAGTGGAAAACCTTGCGCTATTGTGGCAATTCACAAGAATCACATTTTTGTTGTCCTTTTGGGGGGGGGGGGGATTGATGACTTTGCTAGCTTTAATACCCACAAAGAGCAAGTTGTTTTCAAATTTCTGGTATTTTTTGAATTAATAATGCAAACATGTGTATTACAACTTTTTAAAAAAACTGATTTTTCTATTTGAAAAAGTAAATGATATGGAAGAGCTTTGTTATCTCTAATTCATTATACATGTATACTAAAATATTTAAGATGTTTGTTTTGTTACTTAAAAGAAACCCACAGTTTTAACTCTCTTTTTTTTTCTTATATTTCTAGGTACGCCTTTGCTGATTGTCTGTTTAGTTTTAATCATCGATCATAAACAGTATTACTATGGTAAAAACATGTAAGCAAAGTATTATTAAATAATTATACATTTGTATTGTAACTATAGTATGAAAGTTTTTATAATTTGTTTTAATGACAAATATGATACATTTCCATTTTTTTATGTTACAAGGAAAATATTAACATTCAAGATATAATTGTACATATTTTCTTTTGTAGTTTTCAAAGATTTCAAAAACCCACAATATGAATCTAAAAGTTCGAGCTGTACATTTAAGTACATTTTCATTAGAATGTCTCTACTCTTAAAAGTTGGTAATTTATTTTTTTTCATAAATTGAAATGATTGAAATTGTAACAATTAGGTATTTAAAAAGATTTTGTTTATTACAGGTGTTGGTTGGCTCCCTATGGTTTCTATATAGCTTTTCTTGCTCCTGTTGGGATTGTTGTAGTTGTCAGTTTGGTTGTGTTCAACACAGTTATCTACAGTATCTTCTGTGGACAACAGATAGGACTGAGAACCAACCAGTCTGAAAGAAAAATTGCCATAGCTAAATTACGTGCTGCCTTGTGTATCCTTATCTTACTTGGTATGTTGTTTTTTATTATTATTAGACCTTTTTAGTCAGCTTAAAACTTGTTGTAATTTAAGGATAACCAAACACAGAGTTACCTAATTTCTGGAAGAACTAGAAATTTGAGGACTTAGTATGGGAGGAACAGGTGTAATGATTTGTAGTGTCAGAACAAAAAAAGACAAGTTGGTGTGAAGCTGAACCAAAGATAAATATTTTATTTATAGAAAAACAGAACAATTACATTAAAAATTCCAAAGCTGCATTCATAATTCACTTTCTCAACATTACATTGTTTTCATAATAATTTTGTAAATATTTTAAATTTTAGTAGAAAATGAAAAGTTTCCAAAGATACCACCAAAAACATTTTTTTTTACCTGAACATCCTATCCCAAATGTATTCAGTGGAGATAACCAGTTAACTATTTTAATAAAAAAAAAGTAACTCGGAATGGGTACACAAAATTTATTTGAAAGTAAATCAACATTTTAGAATAAGCCTTCTGTGTCAGACAAACAACCAAATAACTTATAAAACTTTTTAAAAACCATAAAATACAGGAGTAAGTAACACTAATACCAGTCAAGAGAAATTTAAAAAACTCAGGAAAAAAATTCTCCAATCTACAGTAATTTAAAAGGATCCTAGTTTACAAACAAATTTCTAAAAATGTCTGACCTATGAATATAATGCTGGGTTGTAGATCAGAAGTCCAAGGTTCTAGTCACAGTATGATGCTGAGCATGCTCTGCACTTTTAGCTGTAATACATTTTTCAGCTGTGGTAGTCAGTCCTGCTACTTGCTTAAAAATAGCTGTGTTGGTAATTTTTGTTGTTGACTTATTGTCCTCTCATAAGTCCTAAATTATAAATGGCTATGCCTAAACCTTAAGCTGTTTACTCCATATGTAAATTGAAATTATTCTTCCCAAGTACTCTTTAACTACTTGATTTTTACATTGATTTAATTCAAGTAAATTAAATCACGAGTCTTAGAAATAACTGTTTTCAAGTAAAATAGATGAAGAATTTATTGTGAACGTTTTGCCTTTCAGGTGCAACATGGGTGTTTGGATTCCTTTCTGTTATGAGTAAATCACGTGAAACTATTTTAGTATTCCAGTACCTTTTCACCTTGACCACAACTATCCAAGGCTTTTTCATCTTCTTTTTCCATGTAAGCTTTGAAAAATATTCGTTTTTTTATATATACATACAGCAAATATTTTAAACTGTAATTTTTTTTTATTATTTATATTCTACAAGGGCTTATTGATATTATAAACTTATGGCATGTAACAGAGAAAAATGTAAGTTTGATAAAAGATATCTGGACAAGTGATCTGATAAAAATTAATTATTTCTATAAGAGACATATGTATGTATGTTTGTGTCTATATATATATAGCCACACACATACATATACAGAGGTTGAGTACCTTATGCTAAAATGATTTTTGAGCCTATGTTGTTACAATCCATATCTAATCTTGTTCTGTCTTATGACTCTGCTTCTTGATGATAGTCTTTTTCAACAGTCTGATCATACAAACATCCATAGGCACTGTGTCCAGATTATGCCTTTGCTATATCTGGTACAGCACTCCCTTACGATCCTCCATTTTGTAAGTCCCTTTCCTATTTGTCTTGTGCTCTACTTTCTCCTGGGCAATGTCCAAACGTTTCTGCAGTGAAGAATCTTTCTTCTGTGCATCCTTCAGTTTCCGTAAACCTACCTTTGGGATGTCACCTTTGAGACTTGCAGGGGTTTGATGTCTTGCTTGCTTTTCTTTTCTTGACCTCTGGTGGTGACTGCAGATGCTTGATCAATCTTTTTTCTGTCTAGTTCCTCCAAATTTATACTACCTGGTATGTTTCCAATCATAAAGTCATATATTGGTGCCTTTATACACGTGACCTCAAGGTCTCCTATTTGATACGGAGTATCCACCTTTATTTTTTGATATGGGTAACTTCCTCACTGTCCCATCAATTAGCACACAGAGATGTACTTTGCCTGTCCTCTGGTGATCAGATAATAGACTGGTTCTCACTGCTACACTACTGCACCCAGCGTCTTGTAGAACCTTCACTTTCTTGACATCAACATATCCTTCAATTACCGGTATGTTGTAATTTGGTACCATCTCTTTTTGTTTGTCACACTCTCCAAGCACAACTGGCACTGTTTATCCATTTGCTAATTTGAGCCAAACATTAGTTGTGCATTGATCGATTATTGAATTGGTACTTCCTTCTTGTGGTGAATCTGACGTTTTTTCTTGATTCTGTTTCTTCTGGCAGTAGCATCCATGGTGCCTGTTATTCTTTTCTTGTTTCTTATCAGTACTATCCCTGTAAATAGCCCCAGTTGCTATATGTTGAAACTTATGCTGTTGCTTGCTGGTAATGGACTTGCACTCCTTTGCATTGTGTCTCATTTTATAATAAACTTAGCATCTCTTCTCCCTTCTGTCTGTTAACCTCCTATCACCTTTGGTAGACTCTTGCTTTTGGTCAGTCATGACTGTTTTCAAATTTAACTGGATATTTTTGGACTTACTAGTTATACTCCCTCCCTGGGCTTCCATATACTGTTGTGCCAACTTGATCATTTTATCCATGTCTATTGGTGCTCTCTCCTTTAGGAACAGTGACATGTCAGCTGAGCAAATGATCATGAACTGTTCATGTATTAGTAGATCTGCCAGTCCCTCAAAACTATTTTTATACTTGGAAATGTCAGTGAAGTATCGCTGTGGATGTGCCACAAACTGAAATACAGTTTCTCCAGTGTCAGGTTTGACTTCTCTGAATTTCTGGCAAAAACCTTCCTCGGTAAGTTCATAGCATTCCAGCAAGTCCATTTTTAACTTGTCATAGTCCATGGCATCTTCTGACGTTGTGCCAGCATACACTTGTAGGCCTTTTCCTGTGGGAAGTGGGCTGAGACAGACTGCCCAGTTGCCTTTGTCCCAGTTCTGACTTTCAACAAGTTTTTCAAATCTCTCTAGGAAAGCATCCATGTCATCTTTCTGTTGATCACATTTGAGTTGGTTGGCCCTGACTGTTGTCATTCTTGGGTTCTTCTTCCTTCAGTTGGGTGAGCTTTGCAATTTCAATTTATAATCTTATTCTCTCTATTCGCAGTCTCTCCACTCTTTCTCTCTGTTTCTCTTTTCCTTCTTTCTCAATTTGCACTCTTATTCTCTCTCTATATATATATTTCCAGTCTTTCCTCTCTCTCTCTCCTTTTCTCCTTTAAGTCTTTCTTCCTCTCTTCTCCCTCCCTCCTTCTCTTTCTTCTGTTACTGCTATTCTCACTCTACTTCTTTTTGTTTAAAAAAACTCTCATAGTTCACTATCTTTTAACTCAAGACTCTCTCCTCTTTCTATCCATCTATCAAAATTTGACATGGTTACACAGTATGTTTGTAATCTCCACATTATTTGTGCTACTACTATAGTTGTGCATATATAGACCTACTTATTTCCACTGTTATTCACATTTTCTTCTACTGCCATTTACCACCGTATAATCCTCTCTGTGTCTCGTCAAATGTCAGAAACTTACTTTTTTAGTAGTATATATAGTATTGTAAATATATGGGTGAGTTGGGCTAAGGTTTCTTCTACAATAGGTGTCTGTGACTTGTTGATGATGAATTAGACAATAAATGAACAGAACGCACTCCAATTGTTTTTAAAATAATATATGTATTTGAAACAAGTTAAACCTATGTACAAAATTCTTTACACTATGGAGATCATAGTTATATCTTAAACACTATATAGTTCTCTTCTTCTTGTCAAAAGTCCACTTAGGCCAATTCAATTGCTTTAGAATTCAGTTGACAAGCCAAACTATTTTTCTCTATTTTTATTGCAATAGAATCCATGTATAATTCACTTACATTGTTGTGTGAGTTACAGAAGTTGTATCCTGAACTTAGAGTAATTGTCTGCTTTTTGTACTTCCAATAATCGTCTACCTTTTGTCAAAGTCCGCACAGGCAGGTTCAATTAGTTTAGAACACCGTTTGACGAGACAAATTATTCTCCTTATCTCTTTCAAAACTGTTAATCTCACTCTGACATATCAACTGTTATGCCATTCACTCCCATGATAATTAACTTATCCATTTTTTTAACTTTTCACTGACCAAACTTCTCTTTCATGTGACTTTGCTTTTACTCTATTTTTGCTTGTCTGGTTGCAGCTATTTATACATCTATCACTTAGGGCATTTAGAAATCTCCATAGCCTCAACATCAATGAATGTCAATTACAATGAATAAGTAAATGAATAATACTATGTACACTAAAAAGTCTTTTATGTCTGACACTTATTTAAAGGTTAATAATGCAGTTTACATCAGTTCATTAGCAATTTCTGGCATAAAAGGAAATGAAACAAACCTTTGTTGTACGTTTTTGATAGGGGAAAGGCTAGAGATAACATTATAATTTTTTACAGTTTTAAAGTTTATTAAAACCTCAATCTGTGAGGTTGATGCTGAAATCTCTAGATAGTGTTACATTTGTAAGCCTTCTTTGTGGGCATGGTTTATATAGGTGAAGTAACAAGATATTTTTTGTGACAGGTGGTGATTAGTTCTTATGTGTAGCAGCATGATGATGACATTGGGTTTCTTGTATAAACTGGTAGTCACTTTATTGTCTTCTCTTTTTACATTAACATCTGAAAAGGGGAGACATCTGTTAGAGTCTACTTCATATGTGAAAATTATGACATTAGGTCTCAAGGTGTTTATGAATTCAATGAAATTAGGCAAATTATCTTTCTTATGATGCCATATACTAAGAATGTATTTTAACCAAATTTTAGGTTTCTAGGTGTATGTGTGTGAATTTATCCCCAAATAGTTCTTCTTCTAGAACAGACATGTAGAGATCACTAAGTAGAGAGGAAAGGAGGGATCCCATTTCTAGTACATTATTTTGTTTATAAAACTGACCTTCATAGAAAAAATAAGTGTTGTTTATGCAATATTTTGTGAGGTTAATAATGTTTTCTGTTTTAGGATTGTCTTTTTCTCCCTTATCACACTTTTAACATCAGCTCACCAGTGCTGGATTTCTTGTTTAGTTCAGGTGCTAAGTTCTTTATGGCTAATGTTTCTTTTAATCTTAGCCACTGCTCATTTTTCAGCCTTTCCAATAATTTGGAACTGTTTAATTTCTACATTTACATTCACACATTTTTCTTCGTGCCAGAAAATGTTTGAGAATTCTGCATACCTTGACACACTATGTTCATTAACTCGATCACTAAGCCTCCTCACAGTCGACCCTATATACATACTATTACAAACAGAGCACTGATATCTCTAGATAACATGTGATTGGTCTGCTTTGCATATTCTGTCTTTGAATATAAAATACTTCCTTATTCTGTATACTGGTTTAAATACCACACGTAATTCAACTTGTGGGTACACATTACAAAGGAAGTTCTTTATTTTTTTCCTGATTTTCAAAGCATGTGTTCCAGTAAATGGTAGTGTCATATACACAATCTTCCTTAGCAGTGGTCGGTTTGTTGATATAATCATTGATGACTTGTGTTAAAACTTTTATTGTTGTATTATAGTTTTTCTCTTACACAATGTGAGGCCTGTTTGACAAGTATTGAGGTAAAGAGAGACTTTATGTTGAAAGACACTAAAATATCTTCTTGGTTTAAATGAAAGTTTTTGATTTTATCTACAAAGTCTAGAGAGTTGTGAGAGAATAGGGGTTAGTTTAAAGTAAAGGGTTTAATCTTTTGATTAAAAAACTTTGCAACATTTTGTACCAGAGAGCCTATAATATCCAGTAGATCTGTGTTTGATGGCAATCTCTTTGGATATGATTGTTTTGTCCAATCTGAAATGGGGAAATGTCATTGTTTCTGCACATTTTACTTGTAGTTGGTCTGCTTGTAATAGTTAAAAGAGTCATAAATGTTTAGTTGTATTGCAACTTTGAACAGTGCCACATCTACTACAGTGATAGATTTCAGTGAGAAAGGATGTATGTTTTCAGCTAATAATGTATCATGCCATACTTCCTGCTGTGTCCAACAGTGATATGAGACAAATAACATCCAGAACCTGCTTCAGCCAGATGAGGCTCAAACCTTAATTTCCAGCATACTAAGAGATGTTTTGATATTCTGTGTGAAGGACAAACCCTTTGTCTTACTACATATGGAATGATGGTCTATTCCACCACTTATACCCAACAGTGGGTAGAAATTATGAAAATACAATGCATGCTGTGATTACCATCAAATGTGGGCCTACTTCATATTAAAATGAGGCCCAAGTGATAAAAAAGGGTAATTCCCCCATTTCTCAAACAGTGCAGTCCCGGTACTTTTAGTAATATGGTATACATGGGTATTCATCAACTCGTATATAAAACAGTATAGTTCTATAAAACAGGCATCCATGACTGGTTTCCAAATAGTCCTCATCTTAACATGTGTAATTGTTCCTTCACACTGGTTTTCTTTTTATTTGTAATTTCAAAGTAGTTGCTTAATTATTAAATGATAAATTCAATTCATACTGTCTTATAATGTTTATAGGTTTTTCAAGAAAAGTCAGCAAGAGAGCTTTGGAATCACTTACTTAGACGAAAATTCCATACTTCAACTACAAGCACAAATACTTTCAACCTTTCAAAAACTGATGCTAAATATAAGTTAAATGTCACCAATACTTCTTCATATGAATAAATCTTGTATTTAAATCTCTTTAAACTGTTATGGTTTTTTTGACAGCATAAAAACCAGATGTACTAATAAATGTAAGCAATAATTATTATCACATACAACATACAGAGCACTATATTACAACTAAAATTTGTTAATTGTACTATCTCTTGATGTACATGTAAATATTTCTTTGTTTCTTTTCAAAAAAATGAAAATATACACAAGTATTTACATTATTGTATGCTTTTGATGTTATGATGTTGTTTTTAACAGTTTATTTTCAGTTGGTGCTGTTTGCTCAAATATTCTTTGTTTTATCATGCAGTTATGACTAATAAGGTATTTGTCTCAACTTTGTGAATGGAAAAAAAATATATTTTTTGTTTTTGTTGCAATCATGCTAGAACTTATTAAACTTTTTTCAATATGTTAAAAAGGACAAAAATGTGCGACTTTAGGGGTTGGGAAGCATTTCATCTTTACCAAATGCTTAATCCTGGAATTGGGACTTTTATCAGATTTTCAAAAATAGCTTGATAAAATTAATTCTTAAGGTGTGGTTGATAATTTATCATTTATTCAAACTTTTTTTATAATTATCTATGTTTACAAAATAATTTTGGAAATACAAATTTCAAATTTGAAGTGGCATAATTTATCTATATCAAAAAATAAAAAAATTATATATCTCTACATGTATTGATTTAATGAACTACTTGTAGCTCTCAACACAACAAATTCTCTTGTTTATTGTGGGTAAAAGAAAAGTGAGTCACTTACATTAACAACTGGTTTTTTATATTGAGATGGGTATTTCCCATAACATTTCAGTTTTCCTCGTTACCTCTCACTTATTGGTATGAAAACGTGGCTGCTGTTAGTCTAGAAATGACTGAAGATTTAAGTATATGAGAATAAAGTCACTTTAGTAATTACCAATGACCACAACCAACATTTTTGTAAATCAAACAATATTTTATCTGTTTAACATTTGCTTTATGTGTATATATAATTTTTAGCATTCTGTAGAATAATAATCAAGAAATCATTTGAAGAATAGCCTCGATCAAGCTAAAAAAAACAACTAAGGTTAAGAGACAATTTTGGATAAGAAAATGGACAATTTATAATTACTGGTAAATAAACCCCAGAGTAAAACATTTGTAGTCTAGATTTGAGAAATGTTTTATAAAAAGAATATTTTTCGAAACATGTTAAGGAATTTTAATATCCACAGAGATTAGACTTCTGTGCTCACAGAGGTTTATTTTACTTTACACAGAATACACACAGCAGATCTTATTTTTACCCTCTTTCACTTTTGAATAGGGGATTAAAAGCTTTTAAATGTTTTTGAGATTTAGTCATACTTTAACATATAAATACATTATATGTATCATAATAAGCACTTTTATTTTTTTCTCAAAAATTTCAAACACGTATTAACACCATAATATTTATAAGAACTGTATGCCTCTTTGCCAAAAACTCTCCCCATGTTATTGCAATTTCTGTATAATATAGTATAGGTAATTTCTAATTATGTGTATCTGTGTTCACTTAATTTTTGAGCTCCTCCCACTGTTTTTGACAAAGTGTATGCTTTGGAATAGTGCAGAATATCAACAAAAACAAAGTCAAAAGTTAGGAGAGGACTTTAAAGAATGGAAGATGAAATGGTTTTGGTGGACTCTCATCAAGAGGGTTATGGGGACTCTCATGTTCGACTGAACTAATATACTTGAAAACTGATGCCATTCAAAACAATAAACTATATTCAGATTTTAGAAAGGAAATTTTCAGATTGGAGCTCCATAATGGGTTCAAATAGGTTTGGGTCCTCTGGGGACTGAATGACACAGATTGACATGAAAATTAGCCTAGACGTGTGAGTGATTGTTTGGATTAAGTATCCATTTTAGATTTTCAAAATGTTTATATTGAGGTCCTAAAAGGAAGATATTGAGTTGGGAATTTCCAGGATTTTCTGCAGGGATTAAGTTGAAAAGTGACACATAAATGGTGGTTGAAAACAAGATATGCAAAGGTTCTTGTGTAGTTGTTTGCTCTGAATTTTCACAAGTAATTTACTAGTTGTTTATAAGGTCCAAAACATTAGAATCCTATAAGGTAACACAATAATATTCTGTCAGAACACTCAGTTTCTTTAAATTTGTTAGCCATGCAGAAGTAACGTACTAGTCGAAAAGTCTATTGTCTTAATATACCCTTAGAATTTCTCATTTTTTATTGCAATTTTGTAATTAGTAAAAAGACTGTTTAGCAAGTATATGTTTTTACGTCATAATTTGTAATAGCAAGTCAAACTTAATTTGTACTTAGTATTAAAGAGTATTTATAAGATTTCATGGAAGTCTGAAAGTGGTACAAAATAATTAAATTTTGGCAAGGTAGGAGTCAATCTTCAGCTAAGACAGTTTCATGTTTCCAACAGGGTGGTTGGCTTTTTTTAATCATTTTAATTTAGTTTAGAGTATATACAGCCGAGATGGACCAATAGGTCCCTTGTTGTCCCAAAACATTATTTTATGTTATGTTAAAAAGTTTATTTAAAAATCCCAAAAACCTTTATAGAATTGAAAGATTGCACAATTTTAGCACAATATGTCTGACCAAAAACCAATTTAGTTCCAATTTAAAAATTTTTTTGGACTTAATGTGTCACCTAATGAACTGCAACAATAATGAACTAGTAACAATAATTACTATAGTTAATAATAAATTGACAAACAATGAGTTATAAGCATAATAAAGTGTTTTATATTTGATGGAACATACTACATGATTCAACAGAATATTGGTCTGTCTTCTTCAAGTGTGGTCAAATTTTATTGGCCTTTGATAGCATTGATTCTTGAGTATGGAAGCACATTATACTCAGGGCATTGAGAGGCAGCCTAGTTCCTGGGGTTAGTAATATCATTGGGCCCCCTTTCATTCTATTTATTAATTTTTGCTGGTTTTTCATAAAAGAAATTTAGGTGATAAATTTCTTCATGAATCCATGAAAAAGCAATAGCCATTTTAACTCATTAGGTAGTATGCATTTATAGTGAGCTTTGGAATGTCCCACTGCCAGGTCCCTCAACAGATCCCGGGGCCATCCTGTCCCCTCTCCCCCTCTCGTCAGCCCTGATTATACTAATATAATAATCAATTGGCAAACCATGATTTATTAACATAGTATGAGTTCTGATAAAAAAAATAAGCTAATTATATAGAACAGAACAAAAAGTAACTTACAAATTAATTAAACCACTTTGATATAAGATAATGAAAAGAAGTAAGTCATGTAAAGTCAATACAAAACAAACTACAATATATAATGATTGGAACACAGTGAATCATTAGTTGTGTATCCTTGCTATTAAAAGTATTTTTGGCCATTATAAAGAAAGACTTTCCATTAATTTTAAGAGTGTATATATTGAAGATTATAATGAAATAAATGATTTAGTATTAAATGCTGAAGAGGGTGGTTACATAGAGTATTGTCATAAAGAAGAAACTTGCTCTTACCTGGTGACAGAAAATGCTCATATATTGGATTATGGACAAAGAGAAAAACTTCCTATTATTTTCTGGGAGTGAATAGTTATATAATTGATAATAATGAAGTCCAATTTTGTATTTATTGATAATCCAATAATGTCATTATTTTCATTTATTACTTATTTGTGTAGTTTATGAAAATCGTATTATTAACTGTAGGACATTTACCAAACACTACACTGTTTTTAAAATACTTGTTTGATGTACAAACAGCAGCAATGAATTGATATTCTAAAATTTTTGCTAAAAGGTGAGTTTTGTAATTTCTTTGTTGTTCTGGCTGAATTTTACACATAACACATATGGAAATAATAGCTTAAGATTAAAGTCAGTTTTTAAAGAATCACTGATTGACTAAACTAAAAATTTTATCCTGTTTTAGTTTTTATTTTGTATATTGCATTGGCTGCAAAAAGTTCAATTCTCATTATGATCAGCCTTTTTATAATTTTTTGTTTTCATACTAATATTTTTTTTTCATTAAATTCAGATAATTTCAGGTCATCAAACTGCTATGAGTTTTGATGATCATGTATTTAATAAAGTGTTACTAACATTGTATAAAGTTTGTAGTTATTTCATTAGTTTATGGTATTTCAAAAATAAACCAAGCACACAGTTACTCAGTCTTCACAATAACAAGATTTATGGATCTAATGTATGGAAAGACAAGTGTTTTGATTTGTTGAATTAAAGGAAACAAGATTTTGATAATTGTACAAATTAGGAGGACTACTGCATTCTGATTAAAACTGAGTAAAAAAGCAAAATAAGTTGTGAAAGGTAAATTAAAGAAAGCATTACTTAAATAAAATAAAACTAAATCTTTAAAACAGAGTGGCTGATAAACAAAAAGAAAAAATGTGGGCACACAACCAGTAGGTTAAATGTTCTACAGATTAAAACAAGGATTATACTTTACCAGTAAGCCTTAACTTTTCCAGACAGGAAATTAATCAAGCTAAAAGTACTAAAATTACTCTCTCAATTTATGTTACTTCTGTTGTTTACTGATCACAAAACTTTATCACAAGTATTATGAAGTATCTCTGCTACATGTGACTGTTGTATAGCAATCTTACATATACAGAGTAATGTACCATACTTCAAAACCTAGGATCCGTATGGTATCATTCCTATTAATTGTATACGATCAAGGTCAGTGGTCTTTGTCAATTATATGCACACACAATGAGTCGGGATGAAGTTGGAAAGTGTGGGTTCAGTAAATGTCCCCTTAACGTGATTCCATTGCTCCGGAGTTCTTGCACTGTCCAGGAGGAACCATTCCATCTTCACTGGCCTCCCCATTAATCTAAAAATATAATTAAAATGTCTTTCAATCATTAGAAGTATTTGTTGCAAGTACAAACACATTAAGCTATGTTGGGCTAAAAATACGTATTCTAGTGCTTCTTATATCTTACAATAGATTGCGAGTACTTGATTTCCTTCACAAAAATATGTTATCT